GCCTACACTCAAATGAGTTTGAGACCACTGTACTAATACCCCTGCCAGACGGGCACGTTAAATGACATTTGAGCAAAATGACATTACAGCCCGGCCAATCCGCGTGTTTAATACGCCACGCTGCGCGTGCACCCGCCACATGCAGAACTATAGCATCACGAGCTGATTCGCCGAGCGATGAATGACATTCGATCAAAATGGCATTTACCTTCCCGTCTGACGTGGGTATAGGCCGTATTCGCGCAAAGTACAGAATTTGTTTTACCGCCCCTTTTATGGGCTAGTTTTGATTTCGTCTTGAAAGAGCAACATATAATTGTTTTTCTCTTTATATCCGACGGTCGCATTATGAATTGTATTTGAAATGAATACGCGTATCTTGAAATAGATCCGACTTCTGTGTGTAAAGTGCATCAGTTTATTCAGTGCGACTTAAAACTCTGTTCATGTTCATCGCAGAATAAAAAATCTACTATATATATTTCTCCTTATTCCTTATTTTACTCTTCTATGCTTTGTCTTACTTTCATACAGCTTTTTGCGTTTTTATTTGACTCTCCGCATAGCTGGGTAGTCTAAAAAACAAGAAAACATAATAGTCCCAGAGTGCCAGACTTCTGAACGGTACGTCCCTATGGTGGGTTTGTACGATTCACGTATGCGAGCCATGTCTGAAGAGGTCAACTAGAGGTGACGATACGTGGGGAGAAACAATTTCAGAGTAAAAGTAGCGCAATATTTTGGCTCAATAGCGTTCTGAACAGTTTGTAGTCATAGATAGTAGTAATAGGGACTTTTAGCAATCCGCTACCGTGTTTCGCGTACCGCACTACCGAAGCCTCTGAAGCATGCTTTTAAGGGCGCGCCCCGATGATACCTTGAGCGGACGGTAGCGCAGTACGCGGAACACGGTAACGGATTGCTAGAAGTTCCCAATATCAATGTAGAATTCCATTCTAACGGAACCAAACTCAGAATTCGCCACCGTCCGAAGCATGTGCACTTGCACCGCCGAACAACTGCGCGTTTCAGCACGTGTCAACGCGTTATGATCCCCCCCCCCCCCCCCCCCCCCCACACACACACACACATTATCTGGCGCTCCCAAAAAAGTGTCGTTAGATGGCTGTCCATTTTTCCACGACTCTCATTCTGCGTATGTATGACGGTTTATGAGTTGATGGGAAACTCTCGTACATTAAGATTGATCGAATTCGCTTGGCTTCTTTCGTGCCTTTGTCAGACTGGCACAGTCTCCGGACCCCCTGGTATCGATCGGCAAGCTTGGGAGAATGAAACAAACAAGGGCTCGAGATTGAGTATGATAATTGAGCTTAAAGGTGTCGCACTAAAAAGGGCAACGAGAATGTCTTATTTGTTTTTTTTTTAATTTTTTTTAAGACAAATAAATTTTGGTATTAAACTGTCACGATACTTATGTTATGAAATTTCCGAAATGCTGTCATAAAGAAAGAGAAAGCAAGAGACTGCAAAGCAAGTGGGAGCCTTCCGGGAGCCGCGAACGAAAGTGTACGTCCACACGGCCACAGGCGGTCACTGGCGGTCACACGACAGCACGACAGTGACCGCGTAGCCTCCGCCGTGCATTGGGAGCGGCCGGCGCTTGGAGGACGGTGACATCACGATGTAGGGGACGCCCCGCTTCTTAACACTGTTAAGTCCCTTCATTATTAATTTTACAAGTAACGAGAACCAATCGAAATGACGGGGCCCATTCCGCTGAAACAAAATGGCGCCGTTCCGTTCAGTCTTCTGCTGTGCGCCGCCATTCGCTTCCTTAAAACTGCACCGTCAAGCAGTCGGCGCTTCAAAGAATGTCGCAGCTTGTAAGAATTGCTCTTATGTAGGGACTCTGTAACACCGCGACGTCTTCTGCTCTGCGCGCGGTCAAGTAGTGCCAGGAGCACGTTGACAAGTGCTTTGGAAGCAAAAGACAAAACACGAAAAACCTCAATAAATTTTATAACTGAGCTCTAATGAACGGACGATGACGAGGCTTGCATTGGTGGGGAACCCGTATCTGAGCACCACCACAAAAAGCAAAATTCCAAACGGGCACTCTAACGTGAGGGCCAGTTTATCGCGCAGTGCAGCTGTTCCTTAATTTTATTGTTTTCGCCCGGCAGCAGTCTGAAATGCTTGGATGATAGCTGCTCCGGTTGCTATGTCCGTGCTCGCGCGATAGGTTGATCACGTGCACAAGTCGAAATATCTCTACTGTATTTTTTTTTTTTTTCATCACTTGATACATTTTGTGAGAAGTTGTTTTGAAGGTAGGTGAGAAATGTGAGCTAATTGTGGAGTCCCAAAATGATATATGTATAATTCTTTAACCCAGTCTCTGCTGCTTTGAGTAGTTGTGTCTTTGGGCTTGCTTGCTCCAATTTCGGATCACAATATCCGTACTGAAACTAACGAAAAAAATGTGAAAAGGAAACATAAATATGTTATAAGAAAATTTGTTTCCCTTCGCAATTTTCTACCGTTGCTTTTTCATGCAAAAATGATAACTTTATTACTATACGAGAGTTATTTCTGTTTTCACTTTCATCTCCGTTAGTGAGGGGGGGGATCAGGTACCAGCACTATACGTAATGCGTTTTCTTTTTTTTAATATTGAGCCTTTCAGCTAGAAGACTGCTAGAAGAAAAGCGGTATTGATACGACAATTAATAACCTAAAAATAGACGTCAAACTGTCTATCAATCAGGGATGGTTTTATATATTCCGATTAAATCTTACAAGACATCACTGCAATCACTGTTCAAATGTATAAACTCAAAAGCGCAACAGAGCCCCGTCATCTGCAGTTTAAAAGCGCGCACGAAAGGGACCCCAAGTTCATCGCGTGACTATTATAGCGCCATGTTTAAAAGCGCGCAGAGAGAGCGACGACGCGCGACCGAGCGCAGAGCCGTCAAAAGCAAGCGAAACACGGCGGCGCGCCGCAAAAGCCGTCACGACAGCACGCCGGCGTCGCTAGTGCGACCGTGCGCCCGTGCGCCCGTTTCACCGCGTAGCGCAAAGGCGCACAACCGTCACGAGCGCACTGCGCCGCTCGTAGCGCCATCTGTACTCTGACAAAGCAACTCAAAGAGGTGTCCGCGTCCTTGGTGCGACCGTCTGCCCTGTCTTCCCCACTCCACGCGACAGCGCGCTCCTAGCGCCATCTGTACTCCAACAAAGCAACTGAAATAGAAGCCCGCAGCGCCCGTGCCTGCTTCCCGGCGCGCGCCCCTCCGCGCACCTCGCCATTGGCGCTCCGCAATAGCCCCTCCCCCTCCCCTCTCCCAGGCTCCTCCCCTCTTCTTAGGCCACGCCAGCGGCAGACCAGCGACATCTTTACCGCTTGATCACCGCAGCAAAAGCAAGTCCCGGTGATTCTGGGCAAACTGGGTAGGGAGCCCACATACTCGCCGACTCTAATACTGGGCGCGCAACAGCGCTTCCGTGGTGGGAGAGGCGCTCAATACTACGACGAATCGGCAACTCATTGCTCTATCGATAGATTGCGAAACTAAAATAATAAGCAAAATTCATGTTCATAAAGTCAACGTTTTAATGCTGTTTGGTAATAACTGGAAAAAAAAAACAGGATCAGGACGAAGAAACACAGACTGAAAGTTTATTGCCCTGCAAAAAGAGAAATAAACACAAAGGAGGAAGGGGAGAGAACAGACAAAGCAACCCTATAACATTCGACATCAGCCACGCCCACACGCTGTCACACGAACCTGCCTCACTTTTTTACGAAATCTACCTCATCATCTGCAAGGGCAACAGAAGAAGTGCTCACATGTGTCAGCCCCGATAGACACCATAAAATATGCTTCGTCTATTTCCCTCGCAGTCTTGTTTCTGTGACCAGACAAAATCTTTATATCATGAAATGACGGTGAGCAGCCACACCTATCGCAATGGACCGCTAAGTTCCCTGAGGGCAAGGAATGCAAAGAAAGTGAATGCTCCCTTGTCCTTATGTTTACACACCGCCCCGTCTAACCAATATACACCCGGCTGCAGGACAGGGGGATTTGGTACACGACCCCGCTTGCACAAACGACGTACAGGGTGCAATGTTTGATGTCAAGCTGAACGGAAGGGCGTCCCTCTCTGCTTACAGCGGCACAAAGGCAGTACTGCATAGGAAAAGCACCTCCTTAATGCCATCTAAGCTGTCCTGCCTTTGAGAAATATTTTTTTTTTTTTTTTAAATTCCACCCAAGTTGTTTTGTTCCATGGCACACAAACGGATGTCGAGACGACCAGACTGAATTAGTGTTGCAACATTATCCATAAAGCAGCTGCCGAGGAAGTATAGCGACCCGAAAGTCGGCAGTCGACCCCAAGTTATCGGGTGGCAACCTAGATAAGCTATCCGACGATGACGATTCCTCAGCACCTTTCACAAAACCTGCTAGAGTCCATAAAATGCGACAGATAAATTAACAGAGGCCCACGAAAAGCTGCACTAAAAATTGAGAAGAGCAGCGTGTCTCGTTTGAACACTTGGCCTCTGGCATGCACTCAATGCCCTCCGCCGCACTTTGGCAGTGCGTGCATGCTCGAGGCTCGTGACACGCCGAAGCGCCATCAAAGCTAGGAAGCTCGCACTGGATGCAGAGTGTCTGAAGCTTCTTCCTCCTGTTTTCATTCCGTCAATGACTATAGTGTTCATTTTCTATCGACTGCTACATTTGGGTTCTGCGGCCGATTGTTTCACACCTCTATACTGAAGACATCTACTGCTCTAACTCATCTACGAGACAGTGGCTGTTGCCCAGTGTGCAAATTAGGCGTGTGCTCCGTGTCGGTAGTAGAGAAATTTCGTTGCCCGTTGTTCACTCGGTTTTTAGATTGCTAACGAGCTCTTAGCTACGCGTACCAACGCCTCACCAACAGAGAACACTGGTTTGGTGGTTGGCACGGATACTTCGTCTTTAGACGAGGCTCATCCCAAACTCCGCTCCTGTTTACAGACGGATCAAAGGCCGCCAAGCACGGCATCCAAGTACCTGCAAGTGGCACTGAAACCCTGGTCTAGAGAGGCGAAAGTCCAGACTGTACCAGGAGGCGGCATACACATCGGTAAGTGTCTCGGGGAAAATCTTTTTGAGAACGCGTTGATGAAACCCTCTGGCTGCTGGAGAAATTATACTTTTACAGTAGCATTGCGTTTGTTCATGCTATAGGTACTAGATAAGCTACACGTAAGAGAAACGACCGTTCGGCCATTTCAGTGCTTTAAACCATGGTTGCCCAGTTATCCGAAGTTCTCCGGAAATATTAAAACAGTCCGAGATGGAGATGAACAATGTCTCTTGAGCTTTGCAGCACCGTGCCTAAAGTTCGGAACGTCTGATTTTCTGATCATAACGATCGCCGATGGACTCTTTCAAAGGTCTGTGGAGCAAAGTTGGCAGTCGCCACGGCCAAGAAATGTGTGATTGAATCCAAGCCTACGCCGACGCAGTGCTCGTTGGTTTCTTGCTCGTGGCCTCCTCTGCCTGCCAACTTAACCCCTTGACGGTTGAGTTTTTTTCCCCAAAAGAGGTTTCCCAGTGGTCGGGTTTTGTTTTCCAAAGAAATAGTATTTTCTTAAGTATTTAGCGGGAGCACGGGCAGTGCTTACGCATTGTTTAGGTTCAGAATCATCAAATTAAAATATTGAAAGCAAAAAGTTGTCACCTTTCTTCCATTCGGCTTTACTTTGGCACGTCCGCTTCTGCGACATGGCTGTAGCTTGAGGTTTTTAACCGCAAGTAGTTTGCAGAGCTTTTCTGTTAGACGACGAGCTCTTGCCCTCCGAATTTAATTCCTAAAACCGTTGGAAGTCTTAAGAACCAGTGCTCCCATCGGCACTACCGCCAGAGCGTCCGGTATGTGAAGCGAGCGTCGCGTGCGTGGAGCCTTTAATTTGAACGCTATAAATAGCCCAGTAAAGTGAAACATTGTGTAAAAATAATGTTTATAGTTCACCAAGGACAGGGGGTAAGAAGCAGCACTCCCACGGCGTGCTGAGTTTTATGTTTAGGTGGGCACTTTCGAATGTGTGATCAGCACCGTACATATTTGGCGACGACGGTTGAAGAGTTAAAGGGGTCCTCCGGCGATTTATGGAACTACCCCAACTAACTACATTTTCTTAATCCCCAGTCTTTACCTCTTCTGGTATGCAATTTAATATTGAAGAAATCCGAATAGTTCTTGTAGAATTGGCAAATGAAAACAAGGCCAAAACCAAGATTGAAATATACCCGTGCTTTTCAGTGCGGCCACGTCGCTGGTGGATAGGCTTGCAGGTCGGGCAGGCAGTCTAAAAACCGAGCATGCTATTTATTTGCTTCATGCTGCTGCTCAGGTGCTGAAGCGAGCTTCTAGAGCACTCATTTGACATTTTGAAACTGCTTGTAATAAGTTAGGAACAAATTCCACAGTCCAAAGAATGAACCCGTGTCTGCCGCTGGCATCACTTTTTTTTTTATTATTGCCAGTAGAATTTAATAATTTCTCCCACACACACGAAGCAAATTTGTTTTGTCTTGATATTTGGGGTATCTGCAGTCGGCAGCAAAAGTTTGCGGGGCACAGGAGTGCGAGCCGAAATTACTTGCTGCACCTTCTGACGGCCGCTTTTAAGACTCGTGCTTTAAGAATGTGCTTCCTTTCGTGCTTGCAGTCGTGTCTTTTTGACTCACTTCAGTCCGACGCACACGAGATAACCGGGACCTATACAAGGTGCCGCTTTGTCAGCCGTCGTGCCGCACGTCTGCCTCAGCCACTGTGATGGGTGACTGAGCTCGCATGCTACGGATAATATTTTACAGCACCTTACGCCAGTTCCTGTTATCTCGGGGGTATCAGACGGAAGTGAAAGAAACGAGCCAAAAAAACATGACTGCGTACACGAAATAAAGTGCATGCGTGAGTCTTGGGAGTGGCAATGCGCTATCAGAATCTGCGGCCAGTCATTTCAGCTGGTGCTCCCATGCCCCGCAAAACTTTTGCTGCCGACTGTTCTAGTTCAGCAATGTTTGTTTGTGCGTGTGGTCAATTATGAAGCAAATCGGGGACCATGAAGATGCAAAGAAAAACGGCGATATGCCCTTTTAAATGGAAGGTGAAGAGGTCCCTCAGAAAAAAAGGTTAGAGCTAAATTCTTGAGTTTTTTTTATTTTGTGAATCTGAATATCACGTTGGCTTTTTCCCAAAGACGTAACTAAACGTGAGAAAAGACGAAAAACCTCCGACCAGTCATTATGTTATACCCAGATCTTTCGGCCGCCAAGCGTGTGTCGCTCGTGTTGGTAGCGCGTGCAATTGCAAGCCTGCCAGCTGTATTGCCCCACGCCGACACCACTCGTGAAGCCTTTTTTTACCTTTTTGAAAATAGCGACAGTACGCGGGCATAGCTTTGATGTGTGCTAAAGACTTTGGATATGACGTCAAGCTTGGGGAAGGAAAGTCTTCACCGGTACTTCCAAAATAATCTTCTGCAGCCTCCGTGCAACAAATTAAAAAATAGTCTCGATATTTGTATCGTGAACGCCAAATTAAGACGATTTAGGTATTTTTCTTCAAATACCGAACCGCTTCATTGTCCCTTTAAAGATTTATTAAGAATACCATGTTTTTTTCCACACATTCTCAAGTCCAACAAGCACTGCATCATTCTGCCAGTTCTTTGGTAAGAGAAGGTTGGCAAACAAGCGTAATGCGTGTCTGCAGGTAATTCAGCCGTCACGTCTTCATCGAACTCCTCGTCTTTTGTGTGACGTGTGAGCGGTATGATTGTGGCTTTAAGCACCAACCATAGTCGAAGACAGTGTGCTTCCCCAGCTTCCACATCCTCTCGAACGTGAACATACTTTTTTTCCGCTAGTTCAGAGTGCCTAGCGTCACTTCTCTTACCTTTCGCCCAGCTACGCAGACAACCTGTTCCATGGCCAACCCGGTCTGCACCTCCTCACGGACTCGTGCCACAGCAAAGCTATGTTGGTGCAGCGGGCAGGTGTGCGGATCTGCGGCCCGCACCAGGCCACACACCCGTCTGCTCGGCTCAGCACATGCTCGTCGACACAGATGAAAGGGCGACCGTCGACAAAGCAGACGCACCTTACGTTTTCCCGGTTGGGGACGAAAGCACAGAGTGAGATCAGTTTTAACCATACTGGGCTTGTCATGACACTTCCGTATTTCTACTTTCAGCACAATCGCCCAGTGCGAAAGCCTCATCTCTGGACGACCTCGTGCCTCGTCTGCCTCAAAAGCATTCCTCCCCGGGTACGTGTGTCTGGGACGTCGGTTCAGCCGGGTACGACTAGAGCCGCCAGAAAGCTGCAGTTCAGAGTGACAACACCAGTGTTGCCATCTTTTTTTTGCACGCTCCGCTAAATTGAGACCAGGAAGTCGCTAAACTATTCGCTGAATTCCAAAAAGCTTATTAAACCCTTTTAAAGTAAGTGAACCTCAAATAATCATATCGCAGGTATTTTGAGAGGTTAAATTTGCACTGAAAAACAACTAGGACTTTTTTATTTGTAATGTTTTTTTAGGAAACGACTAGGCGGTAAGTACGAAAGTATGAATAAGAAACGGGTACTTGTTAATTTTACCACGGAAATAATGACTGCTTTGCCTTCAAGAACAGTTCAACGGAACAGTCCAGAAGAAGAAGAGTTCTTCCTCGATGGTGACTGTACTCAAGTCACCTAAATCTGCCGGTGTCGACGGTTCGTTGCCAGCTTTGTAGGCTTCAGCTGTGCCAATTCGCCGAACAACTTCTTCTGGAAGTTTGTAGTCAAAACACGTTTTTGCGTGCCTTTTGAGGCCAGCTTTGAGGTCAGGATGACGTTTGGCGGAGAGCACGTGGGTATGTGGGCGCGGGAGAGATGGTCTGCAGTGCTAACAGTGTTAACATTTTTTTTTAAAGTGCGCCACTAAATTGAGCATATACCCAAAGCAAACTCGGCTAGAGAAGCAAAAAGGTTTAGCCCGCGAGCATCTCTAAAATTGTTCAAAATAACAAGATTACGGTTAAACACCAAAGTCGCTAAAAAAATCGCTAGCTGCTAAATTAAAAAAATCCGTTGCTAAGTGTATAGAAAATCGCTAAATCTAGCGACAAAATCGCTAAAATGGCAACACTGGACAACACTTCAGCCATGTTGTTGCCTAAAACCACTGTTGCCATTTGTCTGAAGCTTTGTCTAAAATCGCAGGAAACGATTTTCTGTTTTCTAGAAACGGTAAAACTTTTCTTAACAAATCAAAACGATATTGCCTGAACTCCTCCTTACACCGTACTTGAAGCCTAGGAAGTCACATTTTCGAATTGTACTTATTACAATTGCCCTCGTTCTGCATTAGGTAACAAAATGGCGGCACCCGTGATACAGGTGGAAAATAGATTGTGGATACTCTGAAGTGTAGCCTATTTAGTGACTTTAGGGCCGACCCATCACGGTGACCTCCATAGACCACCGAAGATGCAGCCGACGCGAAACACAAACCTCTTCGTTTTTGGGAGTTTACCCTTCAGCCCAGATTCAGCTGAAGGAGTGGAGAGGCCTTTTCTGAGAGGATCTTTTTGAAAGATATCAAGACCATCTGCTGCTACAGTTTTTGCAAGTAGTATAAGCACCATTTTATTTTTGCGACACTCACTCGGGTTTAGCAGGCTGCCAAATAGACAAATTAATAGGGTTGAGTGAAACAATGCACAGTGAATTTTCAGGTCTACAATGAGGCACAGCAGGAGGTTGTGGAGAGGGTACACCCTCCAGTTGTGCCAACTGTGACGGATGAACTGATTCACCTGAAATGTCGGCCAAGTATGGAACGTCGCACCATTTTAGACGTAAAAACCCACATGTGCAGTTGGTCCGAGCAAGCCGAAACATAATTTATGCGCCTAGCTTGAATATGTAGTCCAGAATTTGAAATGTATTTAAGATTTTTAGTTTTGTGGGGTGAGCAAAAAAAGTCCTCGTCTCCTTTTTTTTTTGTGTGTGGTGCTCATAAAATTCACGCATGAATATGAGTCACATTTTTGTATTTTGTATTACAATGAAGACTTCATGCAAATGAAGTCTTCATACAAGACTTCATACTAGTCTTTTGTATGAAGCAAATTTTATAATGAATGGACATTTTGCTTCCAGCTGAAATCAAATAATAGCGAAAACATTACCGTTTGCTATGTCACGAGCGGTGTACAAAATAATTAATTGAATAACCTAATGAATATTAGGTTATTTGGGTAAGAGGACTCTGATGATTTTTTGCCTGCATCTGCTACGTATATGAGACATGCTAGGTTATTGTGCTACTCGATGTGCAGACAGTTTTGTGGATAGCTTTTTTTTTGGCAAATAGATGTTTATTTTTTTTTTATACTGTGTTCCGGGCTTGAGACAACTGGTTCTTCATTAAAACAAATTGCTTTAATTCCTTTGCAGGTACTGCAGCATCTTGGGTGCATTGTGGGCTGGCTACCCTCACTACCCTATGCAACTGCTTCACATGAGCAAAAAGTTGATCGATATCTAATATATTTTTTTAGAATACTCCATGCAGTTGCCAAATGTTTCCAGGCCAAAAACTTCCGTCCACTCTGCCCTAGTCGTCCTAAACTCTCTTCAACTATACATTGTTTTGTTTTCTAGCCACAGGAAATAGTGGCTGCCCAGACATGACACTCTGATAGCTTGGCATGGTCATTACGTCTTTAAGGGTGGGGCATGTCGATTGTAACCTTACTGACATACGAGTATTGGCACACTCAAATAAATGCACATCTCGAAGTACAGCCCTTCCAGACATTAAAGGACCTCTTCGACTGCAGACACATTGCAAAAGGTTGTTAATTGATCATGTCTTTATAGACCAGGGGTGACCTGACGAACAAGTACAAGGAGCCAGAATAAAAAAGTATGATTCTAAGTAAAAAGCTGCAGCAAAAAAGGGGTCATAATAGCCTTATATTTTTTCATGTCATTCAGTGGTGACAGCGAATTCTACTTCTAAAGGAACAGCTCATTAAGCACGATTGACCGGCATGTTTGATTTACGCATTGGTAGCACAAGACTGCCAAAGCACGAGCTGTATTTTCTATTTCTTTCCATTTGGTCTTGAGGGGAAAGGGAGGAGGCTTAGCAGAGAGGTGCAGTTCGGCTGAATCCCGGAGAAAAGCTCACCGGAGAAAAGCTCACCGCGAAACCGGCGGATGCGGAGAAAAGGTCACCGATTTTTGTTTTCTTCATTTTATATGGAGGCTGTTGGATCATGCCTAACACATATCAATTTATTATTAAAATTCATCAGCTTTGTAGAAAAGAAAGTGTCTTTTTTTGTAATATTTGTTAAGCTTATTGTGTATATTGCCTCCAATTTAATAATTGCGGGCGAGTGTTTTTTGTGGCTTAATCTGTAGGCAACGAAAGCCGAACTGAAAACTTTATGAACTTGAAGAACAGGAAAAAGTTTGAAAACATAATAATTCCTGCCTAAAACCTAAAAATCAAAATTCTAAATGCCGAAAATTCGAAAGTGCATGCGCAGCAACGCGGTGCCTGAAATTCTCTTTGAAGCTTTTGTTAACCTTTGAAAACTGGATAAAACAGTCAGTAGGATGTCGAGACTTTTTCTTCTACGGACATGAACGTTTTGTAGCCGTTCGTGCTGGTGTTTCCACACGTTGCCTTTGTGTTATTTTGCCCTTCTATGACGAGCCACCCATGACCTTCAGGGCTGCACACTGGCACCGTTGTTTCTCGTGACCTATATAAGAATTGGTCTTCTGTGATATAGCGAATTAATATAGCGAATTGGGCGAGTTGGTAAACGTTATACATGTTAAAAACCGCTCAAACGACGACGACGGAGTGAAGACAACAAACACGACAGGACGAAGCTGTTCACGTAACTAAAGTTAGTGAAATCAACAGAAAGAAAACAGCGTAGCCGACACTGATTACGTCAGCAAACACCTACTTATCTATTAGGCACTACACGATATTTGGAGGTGAAACTGTTCACACATCGCTACTCATATTGGGGAATTGTAGTAGAGCGTTCCCGCAGCCCGCTAAGCACCCGGATAGCGCTCCGTAATCCGCCACAAGACCTTGGAACTACGCAGAGAAGGCCGGTGGCGCGCAGGCGCAGCTGCGGCGTTTCCTTCGGGGATACCGTAGCGGAGGAGGGAAACGGTCTACTACAATTCCCTATTAGCTCGAAAAGTACAATTAAATTAGCGGAAAACAAACAGCGCAAGGACAAGGACAGAGTAGAAGGTGGTAGACACACACAGCGCTGACTTACAACTGAGCTTTATTGGCACTGACAAGCTGTATAAATACACAATTTGCCCGGCCCAAAAGCCAAGAAAAGAAACACAAGAGGAGGACTACACGTGTTCCTAGAGTCATCTGCAGGCACCGTTGCTCTCCGATCTGAGTAGAAAAGTACACTCCTTTTCCGTCAAGGCAAGTGACGGGGCACTAACACACTCAGAGCCCGATTGTCCAATGGCGCGGGCTTCTATAATCTCACGTGTCAGTTTATCTTTTTGTTTTCTGATGACCGTGCATCGTTCAAAAAACGGAGTGCATCCGCAATCGCGGCAATGCACCCCAAGGTGCCCCGACACAACCTGAGACATTATAACGATGCTCTCTTAAACGCTCATTGAGACAACGTCCTGTCTGCCCTATGTATCTCCGGCCACAGGACAGGGGATACATACATACATTAAACCTCTTTATCTGACAGAGCTACCGACGCCGCACTTTCAGCTGTATATAAATTGTATTTTTTACCGGTGTACAATGTTCTGATTCGTTTCCCCTTCCGCTAAGCCCTCCGCAACGAAGCAGCCGCTACTGCGCCGGCGCGCCGATGGCCTTGACTGCAGAGTTCCGGCTAGCGTAGCTGATTGCGGAGGGCATTGCGGGACCTCGGAAACGATCTACGAAAACTCCCTACTATACAGAATGGGTGGTTACGAATTTCTGAGGAATTAGTAATTATGCCCAATGAACTTCAAGAATATTACAAAAAGAGGATATATTTTTAATAAAGTGACGAATGCGAATTGTGTTAAACTGATACGTTTTATACAGAATACTCTAAGTTAAAAAAGAAAAAAAAAAACGTCGAGTTTTTTTCCGTTTTCGATCAGAGGCCGGTGAGCTTTTCTCCGCATATACGGGTGTCCAAACAGGACACTACAAAACGCACGACTCCGACAAATCGTGAAAATTGAAGCGGACGCGCCCGCTTCGCGCACGCTTCAATTTTCACGATTTGTTGGAGTCGTGCGTTTCGTAGTGTCCTGTTTGGACACCCCTTAAGCCGGTTTTGCGGTGAGCTTTTCTCCGGTGAGCTTATCTCCGGTGAGCTTATCTCCGGTGAGCTTATCTCCGCTGAGCTTTTCTCCGGTGAGCTTTTCTCCGCCGC